CTGTATATCTACTGACCTGTGTCGATCGGTTCACTTGGTATCCGGAAGCTCTTCTCATACCTAATTGCTCATTGGAAACTCTAGGAAAAGCTTTTCTGGAGCACTGGGTAGCTCAATACAGCTGACCCGCCATCGTTACCACCGATCGTGGGTCACATTTCTTGTCGCCTTTTGTCACCTTACTTAAAGATTTAGGCTGTCGCCACATTCAGACGACGGCGTACCATCCGGCCGCTAGCAGCATGCAGGAACGTTTTCAACGCCAGTTGAAGGTAGCGTTACGCGCGTACGCAGATCCCTCCTTGTCTGAAGCACTGCTTCTGGTCCTCCTGGACTTAAGAAACACTGTTAAAGCGGACCTCGACACAACGCCAGCGTAGCTAGTCTACAGTTGAACGCTGAGGTTGCCTGGACAACTGGTGGCATTAGCCCCGTCTGCTGCCTTCTTTGACTACGAAAGTTACATTTACCGATTGGCTCAACAGATGCTTGAGCTGCGTCCGCCCCCTCCACGATCGCTGAAGATACCAGTGTAGGTGCCTGAGAAGCTGTCCACGGGTTCACACGTCCTCCTCCGTGCAGACGGTGTTAGGTAGCCTCTTCGGTAGCCCTACATAGGACCCCTCAACGTGCTACACCGTACGAATAAAACGTGTAAGATTGACCGCGGTAAGTGACACGAAGTCAGCACTATCGATCGCCTCAAACCAGCTCTTGACGAGGTCGCTGAGCCTATGGTTATTTCGAACGCTTTGTGGGAAGCTACGAATCATTGCGCCACCTTACAAACAGGTCGCATTCCTGCAGCGGGTACTGATTTAGCTTCCCAGGCTAGGGTCATTCCGAGGTTATCACCTACTGTGAATTTGTCGCCTCCTACAAGCAATCGCCGTGGTCGAGAGACTCGTAAGCCCGTTCGCTTTTTCCGATTATATAGAGTGTAAAGATCTCTAATTTTGAAATATTATAAGTTTTTGCTCCGTTTCTGGTCGATTAACGTTTTGAGAACACAAAATAAGCAAAATAGTCTGCGAAACCTTATATTAAAATACAAAAACCCAAAATAAGCAA